CAAGGGAAACTGATCCAGATTTCTTTCTAAACACAAATATTGGAACAATGTGGCACTGTGACAGCCCTTCTCAATGGACAAATCCAAGCGCAAATGGATCTGGCTGGACATTGAATATGGACAGCACATCTGTGCTTTATGACCAATCTTCACGACTGATCACAAAAGGATTGAATCGGAATATTTCAAACTCTCCTCGCTCAAACTGAAAAACGAAACAACCGGGCAGGAACTGAAGTGCATCTACCCTGGTTATCAACACCTGATGTAAAGAGACTTTGAAAGGGGACTCTGCCCGTTTACATTCAATTTTTCAGACTCTGTTACCCGCACATGCAGCGGCATATCAAGGGAGGAATGTGTAACTTTCTCCAAACAATTGACAAATTCACTTTTCTTTTTAAGGGGCTAGGGGCAAGGGCAGAGTCAAAACCGAATTTTGGGGTGGGGCAGAGGACAAAACCTTGGAAGTTTTTTTCATATATTATGGCCTTTCTAAGGGGTGAGGCTTGTCAGGGCTTTTCACATGCTTTTTGAAGGGACAGAAATTACTTGACTACAAGAATTGCCTTTCATTATTTTTCAAAATAACATTTTTTAAGAACTTTATTTGGGGAGGGGGGGGGCACGACCATATTACACCCCCCCTTCTCCTCGGATCTGCCCTTGGTTAGGACAGGGTTGGCAGCTGATGTGGGGCTCAGGCCTCTGGGAAATTATACGATAGAAGAAATCCGACAGAGGGTCGGTCCATGTAGTAAAATAGGCTTCTTCTGATCAATGTAGGCCTACCGGTACATTTACATGCACTGTACATAACGGCTGACAGCCATCAATATGATCACATGTAGGACCCGCCAAACTTGCACAGGGCATATAAATGTACAGCAGTGTACCATACATGTAGCTCTTGGGCCAGTTCATGCATTGCACAATACAGTGTACAATGGGTAGGCATTCACCGCGTCAAGGGGACAAGTTCTTTAATTAGGGAAATTTGAACCGAGTTGTGGGGACATTTCTGAGTCCCCACAACGTTTTCAGTCCCCACAAAATGGGTGAAATGTCGAGTGCATGTCCCCACAACTACGGTGCGGGAGATACTGTACATGTACAGTGTGCACCTATACATGCACAAGCAGGCAGGCCCGATTTCATACCATTGTAGAGATGCTGACCCACAGGTGACGTAAGCTATGACTACCCCACTCAGGCATGATGGTGATGGCAAAGTTGACCGGCATCCCTGGAAGATGTCAGTTTAGACCCGCTGTGCCAGTAATGGTCCCTCACAGGGTGCAAGACACGAGGTTGATCAAGACTGGTCCCCTTCAATTAGTCGGCAGGCCTCCTTAAAGACTCCTGACAGCTCTCTTTCAATGGTACATGTACTTCGGAGGGCTCTGGCAATCTTGGAAGGGGGGGTGGGGAGGGGAACTTGACCGGATGATTGCATGCAACTTGTATGGGAGAAACTTGCTCTGGGCAGTTGTCACTGGAGAGCTGCATTGGGCAGATTACCTGCCAAACCCCTAAAACGCTGGCTACTTGCATGCCCGACACAAAAAATGTCTACACAGTGAATCAAGGACATTTGAACAAATTCTGTTCCGAGATTTGGGATGCGAATCAATTTCTATTAGTTTTCAGGAAAGGAATCAATCCAGGCTGGCATTTAAGCCACTGTGATCTGCATGTACATGTAATTCTTTAAAAAGACAGAAAAGAGAGCTCATTCATGTGGCATCATCCTTGATGAAGTCACAGCTGGACCATCTCGTGAAGCATCTCTGTGCTGAAGGAACTAAGCCTGGATACGCTCCACAAGGAAAAGTAATGGGCTTTTTATTCTTTGATGAGAAGCTGATAAGGCCATGCACATGTTGTACATCGAAGACAGCAGTGTGCAATGGTCAGTGGGCCATCAAACCATATCCGTCTTGAGCAGAAGCACCCCCTCAGTGGTTGAAAACAGCTGCGCTGGTCGGGAGTATTCATTTCGTTGGTAGTGATGCGACGGCAACACTGGCATTTCCTAGTCATCCGTGAACCAGCGATGGGCAGTTAACTACCAAATGAGCCTCCGTTGCTGAGGAAACAGCCCCATCTTTTGGTCCAGATAGGGGCCCATAACCCCAGTGCAGCAGCAGTGTGGCAAACCCAAATGAGGCAGTCATGTTTTTGATCTCGTTTCCTGAATCTGTCTTTATAACTTGTAAACTGCTGATCCAGATGGTGCCAGACTATATATGATTGATGTGTGTTCCAAGCCTCTCTTGTGATTTTTTTTTTCAAAATCTGGCTGAAAACACTGAGTGTACATTATGTCACAAATATGAAATTATTCATTGGTGTAGACAGGAACTAGATTGCCATGAAATTTTCATTTTTCTTTTATTTCTACTTGTAAGTTCCAAAACGGAGGAGTTACCTGTAACCTCGCTTTCAATTTCAATTTGGCCCACCCATGAATAAAATCTATTGCCCTAGCCCTGCTGGTTTGGAGCATCAAACCATGTGAACACATCTATATGTATCTGCTCCAACCATCATATCCTAAAGAAAAACTGAAACAAAACTATCAGTGACTCTGCCAATGGAAATTAGAAACCTTTCCTTTGACAGACTATCAAGTCCCTAAGTTCACTGACCAAACAACACATGGCGATTTGTACTTTTCAAAAAACCATTCTAGCACCATCTAACATTTTCAAAACAACGGTGTGGCCTTTTTATATCTGTCAGCTTTGGCCTGCCATGACCCCGGGTGACCCCAAGTGACCTCCAGACCAACTGTCGCCCAGGGCCCCTATTGGAGACACTTGTGATCCGATATTCCTGTTTGTTTTTGCTTGAATGCAAATTTGAAAATTAAGACTGCTTTTACTGTCTGGGTTTATTTGGTTTACGCCTTGTGGAAATCGTTAATTTTCACCTCCAAATGTGTGAGTTTTATATTACCGTTTATTTGAAATTATATAAAAAATTGTTGGTTTCTTTTTTCCTCTTAAAAGACTTTTTCACATGTGTGCATAAAAGCACAATTAAGCATCTTTCCAAAGGAACATGTCACTCTTGTTTTCCAAGACAGAGTAAACAGAGTACAGACAAACCAAACAAAGCAAGCTTTTTTTCCCCCAAGTAAAAATCCACAGCATTATAGTACTGTGGTGCTAATTCACGACTCACTCCATACATCAATACCGTCCCTGCATCCCTACACATGGCTGCACTTCCAAGATTCCAGTTTTATGCAGTCGATTGCAGTGGCAGCAAGTATTTTTTTCACAGAGTCTGTTGCTTTAGTTCATTTCATGAGAAACTCCGAAGTGATCTGACAGCTAAGGAAGACGGAATGGTGATAATGGTGACACAAGTACATGTATGTGACTCGTCACGACAAAATATCGCTTTCCCCTCTTTCTTATTTTGAGGGTTCAAAGTCAAATATTGAAGTGGAAGTCAGTTTTCAGGGTTTTGTATAAAGTCAAGAATTTTCCGCTTTGCCAAATCCATGAAAATCGTGGATTCGGGGGTAAAAAGCAGAAAATGCCATTCTCAGTAAAAAAAAATATAAATAAAACAAATACATATTTTTGACCGTTTCTGCACAATTAATCAAATCAATATGAACCAAAATTAGGAATGACAACTCATTTTCACTGTTTAATTCACTTTGAAAGTAACACTTGGTAGCGATTCCCTTCCCGTTTTTCCTTTGCGATATTGCAGAAATCAGCATTGATTTCCGCCGGCTCCGCACCGCGGAGATCACACGGCTCCCTGTTCCTTACATAGTGCCCAGACATCTCATGGCTTATGAATAAATCAATAGGGATGGGGACCAGTTCAGGATCACAGTGGCATGGTGCGTGTAGGCCCTACTTGTATCATTATGCCAAAGATACCTGTAGATGTACAGTAAATGTAGGCACATACAGTTTTTGTACACAAATTTTAGAAAGCGGAAGAAAGCAGAATTTGACTTCCAGAAAGCAGAAAAATTCTTGACTGTAGTTTTTGTATTATTTGGAAAGAGTAACCATCTATTTAGTTCCAAATTTGTTGCTGGATCCATATATTTAAAAATGTCCTTTGCTCAGCAATTCTGACGACTTCATTATTTGTGCCTGGTCTGAAATGTGGAAAGAATGTCGGGAACAAAGACGCAAAGCTGCCCGAATACATGTCACATTGTCACCTTATACTTCTACCCAAGGTATTCCACGTACACTGGAAAGCTTTCTTTCAGCTGAATTCGAAAAATGCCATTATTTCAAGCTTTGAAGATTCTGACTTTCAGCTCATTTTGTGGTGACAGGTCACATAATGGATTTAAACGAAGCTGGAGATAAAAAAGTCAGTGCTAAATGCGTACAGTACATGTCCCCAAATCTGCAGATGGCTGGATTTTCCCAATCATGAACTGCTCGCTACGCCCCCACAATGACAATTTCTTTCTCGAATGCATGGGGTGGCTGATAGATGTTGCTGCCGCAGGCGGCGATACGTACAACATGTGCCAGCCAAAGAAGCCATTGTTTTTTTTTCCCCTTGCTAGCGGCTGCAACCACTTTCCATGGGTATGTCCGCTGTTATCTGCCGCAGCCACTATTTGCGGATGCGGCCTTCGCTGCGAAGAGAAAACTGAGGCTTGCACCGTGAGCCATGCAGGGAAACAATGGTGAGTAAGAAGGTGATTGCAGGGACAAATGGGGTGAAAGGGTTAAAAGGCGAGTGACAGGTGCATGTTGACCCCTCCGATATGAGAGTAGATGAAGAATCATTGGACCCATAAGTCAGGTGTTTGAATCCGACAGATGGAATGATAAACAGTCCAAGCACTGTTCTGTGTGAATGCGATCCAAAATTACGGTGAAGAATGCTCGAAAGCCTGACAATGCAGCTGTGACTGAAAGAATGGAATGACACCATATAAAAATGAAAATCTGTGGAATTGCAAATGAAACAAAATCAAAAGAAAAAAAAAGAAAACTTACAATCATTATGATGTCTGTCCCTCCTTGAACTTTGGTGTCTCCCTAGGTTACAGAAAAGGACATGCACCAGTTATTGGATTAATCAATCCAGGTTAACAACCACTTGGGTTAATTAATCCAAGTCGATAAAGCCATGTTAATACCAAGAAAGAAGAGAATTGATGAACATGTATCTCTTTTGGTTCCTTTCAGTCACAGAGAGGACCGTGCACTGGTTACCAACTAGAGAGTTAACACTGATTAAAGAGTTAACTTGGTAAATCAATCATTAAGTTGAAGTTAATACACTATTCAAAGATGTTTATCACTTCTTTAACTGCCCCTAAGCAGAAACCATTTACAAGATGTAGATGTATCCCGTGTTACTTGAGAATTGTTGCTGCATATTGACTAATATATTCTTACCTGATTTGCAGTTTGAAAAAGTTGTATCCTTGAGTGTTTTTAGTTTTGTTCGTTTCAGTTTTAAACAAATCAGGAGACAAATAAAATTGATTAAAAGAATGAGATTATTAAAACAAAGTGAGAAGAATTAACACACTGACTCAAATAAAGTTGGTTAGCAAGGGAAAAAAAGGAACTCAACAAAAATGCAAGACAGGAGGTTGTGAGGATTTCAGATTACTGTACTCTACTTGTGCATGACAAAACCTGCCACACGAAGCATTCCAATTTGAACAGAAGTCCCACAAATAATGTTTGAAAGGTAATTCCGTGATTCAGCGGTGACATGGAAGATTGATTGATCTGACAAGCAGAATACGCAAGCATGTTTTCCGCTCTGCACAAATACATGGAGATTAGTCATGCTATTTGGTCTCTGCAAATGGTCAACAATGCCGTGTTTACACATCTGGGAATAAATCTGCATGACACAAGTTCACCAGCTGAGGGCGCTAAGAGTATTTGACAGGGCACTGTGACCTGCTGTGTGACTTGCTGTGCTTCCTCCCTCTGGAAAGATATTCCCAGCACACTGCACATGTGAAGTACATGTACAGCTTACAAATTGTACATGTACAATGTACTTGCACATGTAGCCACACAATGGTTGACAAAGCTGTGTCAATGAGACTTGCAGGTGTACATATATCATATCACTCAACAGAAGACTGTCGTTTGCATTTGTTCTGAATCAAAATGTTTTAAGTTGGCAAAGGATCTATCAGGGGACATCACACCAACTCTAATGGTATCATATTTGGGAGTGAAGCGCCAGGAAATCCGAGCCTGAATAGAATGATTTCATTCATAAAACGGTTATCCGAAGGACAATAAAAAAGACTGGTGATTTTGTGAATACATTGCTCTGTTTTTCTTTAGTCATTTACGCAGAGACATTAGTATTTGTCATCTTTTTTTTTAGAACAGAGCTACATGTATTTATAGCAGCTTGGGTTTGCAAATACATGTACAAGTACACTTGATAAAAACTTTCAAAAGCTGCAGTAACAATATACTCAATTACTTTTAAATGGGTAATTCCAGAAATTAGGAGTCCAATTTTTTTTTGTCTCTGTCACATCTGACGTATGATTTTGTACATGTAAGTTCAGAACACACTATCTAATTTCCAAGAGTGATGAATTAATGCAAATCACCTGCCAAACAAATAGTAACAGTTTGAAATCAATTCCGGTGATATTTCCATGTCAACTAACAACGGAAAGATGTGACAGGGTCATGAAAATGTCACACTTTTGGACCCCTAATTTCTAGAATTACCCAAATACAGAAGAGGCCAGTTTACAACAAAATTCCTGTTTTGAGTGGGGAACAAGTCTTGTGCAATATGCATCACAAGGCACTTTGGTTGGTAACCTGTTCTTACTAAACAAACATGTTCTTTGCGAAGAAAAAAACTCAACTTTTTCCTTAGCCCTTGTGTCGTACTAGCACAATGGAAGCAACCCCGACTGGATTTCACCAGCATACGAGGGCAAATTGTAACATTTACACCCCAAAATCCACCACATATTACACTGCAATTGATGACACCGTGAAAGACCACCAGGCGCATGACCTAATATGGTCTGCTTCTCTCCCCAAAATGTGGATAGTCTGAAGACCCTTCAGTCCTGACAACCGTCCTGCGCCCCTACCCATCTGGCACAGCAATCCCCCACCCACCCCACCCCGCGAGGCAGGGCAGCATGTGGAGCTGTGAAGAGTTATCCATGGAGCCTCTTTCTCTCTCTCTCTCTCTACCACCGAGATCCCTCCTAACATGCTCGCACGTTCAGGGATCAGTCCCAAGACTTACACGACCTGCCATCCCTGTATTTCCTCACACCTCATTTAACGATCGGTCTCCTCTCACAGTTTACGTGACCCCCCTCACCCCAGTACCACCTGACAACAACACAGCGGCCCCACAAATAGTTGCCAACCCCCCCCGCTGTATTCACAACTTATTGTCTTCACATCCCTCCTCCCTTTTTTTTTCTGTGATCAAACGAGCACGTAGGCAGATTATTGGAAGTTCGAGCACTGTACCCGTACCAACAATATTAAGATGCGCTTGTTTGCGGACGGTATCTACAACCTTCTTTGGGTACCAGACTAGGACAGAGAATTTTCCACGTGGGTTGGAATATCAGAGGTGTTGAAAATGACTGGATCCATGACAAAGACTCGGGTGAAGAACAAATCATTTCCCTTTGCACTTAATGAACAGTAAGTTTCGGGCTGTCCAGGAGATATTTCCCTGTCATTCAAATATGTACCTGTACAAATTCACAGGAATAATTCAAAACAAAGCATAAGTTGACAAGGAAGCCACCCCCCCGGACAACACAGACGATTAGGGGCACTCCTTAGAACAACTCAAGATTGACCACTGTAAGTTTTCAGCTGTGTACCCGTTGAGAACTTTTCAATAACCTTTTGAGTGTGAAAACTGCACATTTACTTGAGAGGCTTCTCAATGCACATCTACTTCTTTGCGACAACTAATGGCGAAAAACGGAGGATAAAAACGCAAGGCGCTGATCGCAAGGTTGAAAAGTCGCCTCTTTGAAGCAAACCTTTGGGGGGCTCACTGCATTCTGAATTTGTCCAACTGGACCCAGGCGTTTAGCATTTAGCAAATGTGGACGCCCCCATGTTTTTTTTTCCCGTTGCATTCTTGGTTGACACTCCATCTCATTTCCCTCCAGACAGTTCTCATGTAACAGTCAGCTTGTAATATGCCTCCTCCCCACTGAACACTGAGGTTAGACAGCATCCCTCTAGGCTAGGGGAGACCTCCCCCACACACACACACATTCAACTGTTTTCTTCATCTGACCTTGAGGACTCAGTGGTCTTTCATGGACAGTGGAACAAATCCATTGGAGGTAGGTTTCTTGGGACAGCTAAATATGAGTCCTTCTCTATATGCTGAGGTAGACCACAAAAACTACATGTACCAACAGAAACTACAAGGGAAAAAAACTGAGTTTGGTCGTGAAATGAAATCATAGACATTTGGGAAGGATTGGAAGATTCCATAGTCTGGGAGGTGAGAGGGTTGAAGTGACGGGTACAAATGACCCTGTGCGCACAAAATGTGAGCATCTATCTTTGATGAATGCACTCAGGCCACAGGGGGCACTGGGAAAAGAAACTCTTCCTCTCTTGAGGTGATCTGTTTCGGGAACGGAAAAAAATTTACATCATTAACCTTCCACCATGCTACAATTTTCCAAAAAATTCAACATGGAGTACCAACGTGTACCAGTGTTGACAGCCACTTCCTGCAGGCTCGCCTAATACAATTACACACTACTGATTTCTTTATAAGGACCAGCAAATTATTACGTGCAACGTGGAACGTCAATCTCAGAGGAAACGGGTTGTTCATGATTTCAACCCCTACCGGTGTGACAAAATTCTAACAAAATGCCGAGAGGATGTCAGAGTCAACCACTCCACTTCAAATATGGCATGGCAAGCTCAAAAAGGGACATTTTTGGGGGGAAATGGGGGTTACCAACTCAAATTCCACACAGTTTGGTCGTGAAATGAAATCATAGACATTTGGGAAGTTCTCAGCTGTTTTTTTTGGGGGGGGGGTAATGTTTGACCGTGTCGAAAATGGGCTTCTACAGCTATGGTTATGTCTGCTGCCCTCATGTCTCTGCATATTTCCCAAGGGCGAAGACCTAGACCTCAAGGTAGCAGCAGACAATGGATTCGGACTGCAGCCTGTGTTCTGCCGAGCTGCTCCACATGGTCAAGGGTCAGGATCAAATCCACCTCACCCATCCCAGCTCCTTCAAATCCTTGGAATTTTTGGAGGATTGGTGTGGATTCTCAGGGAGACAGAGCCCAGTCACGATGACATGTAGGGGAAGGTCCTACTTCGCATCATGCTTGATGCTCCATGGAAGGGCACGTGAGCGCAAGGAATGTGCCATTGATTTGGGGGGGATATTTTAGAGCATGGAAGATACTGGAGGAGTGAGGCAAATCACCATCCACCAATGCCTGGGATTAGATCAAATGAATTACATGAAGCATCAGTACACAAGTAAGTCCATATCCTCGGGGCGATTCCACTTTCCCTGCGGGAGATGTATCATCGTGACAGCCCCCATCACATTTCTCATCAACCATGTGGGTTGGTAAAGGCAGGGCATCCCTACTGGGAGACGGAAGGGTTAGAAAACACAGCTGTAAGCATTCATTACTGACCCCAGCTCCCCTGGAATGTCCGGGCCGGAAGGGAGGGTAGAAGGATTCTTGCTGTCCCACCCCTGCCCCCCTCTTGACCACGGCTGAGGTTTTTATCAAGTCACTGATGTCAGGCCAAATGGCACTCAATCATCAAAGGAAAACCAACGTCAAACTGAAAGCGCAGAGCACGGAGGAGGCTGGGAGTATAACAGGCACTGGCTCAGGATGGATGGTACCTGGAAAGACCCTAAGTTGCATAATAAATGCAGTGTGCGACCTGCCCACCGTCTTTGCTTGTATCAAACTCTTCCGGTGAAAAAAGATCATTCATTTATGATCGCCTTAAATTAACCAACTGCGGGATAACTAGCAACTGGTGACAGAAACCTACGGTGGCTTCACAATTTCTTACCGTACTTCCTGAAATATTTATCACACATCAATGAGACAATCTACATGTACAGTATGAGGAACTGATGCATGACAAATTCAACTATCTTGAAGCAAGCCAAATGAAAAAGTCCCTTCTACATGTTCATGCACATGTACATTTCACGTTTACTTGACGTACGGTAAAATATGATTGCCATCGACTTCACACTTTTTAATCATCGTCGTCACGTATGTTCAGGTCTAGAAAACCTCCCGACATGAAATAGGTGATTGATTTTGCCGGTGAAATCGGGTAATCTCTTGGAATCCAACAGCAAAGCTGATCACATCAATTGTCACTGGCGACAACCAATGTACGGCCTATCCCTCTCTCTCCTACGGGGAGATATCTGATACTTTGAAAGCTTCTTGCATTTTTTTTTGGTCTCCACTTTTCAATCTGGTGACATTCATTCATTCTGGGGAGACCCCCCAAAAAGGGGGGCTCATGCGTTGAAAGCTTTTGTTATGCCAGCCTGACGCATCTGGGGTTTTTTTTCACTTTCCCTTGGAGTAAAGGGGAACTGTGGTATCGACCAATCTGCAATAATTACCAACTCCAAACTTGAGTTCCAACTTTTTTTGGAGTTGGACTGCACACACATGTACATGTACATGTACTTTCTACGCAAGAGCAGAATAGTCAATTTTCACAAAATTTGAGTCAAAATGACTGCAAGATATTCTTGAAAAACTGACGCTTTGGTGGTGGTGGGGTTGATTGCACTGCAAAGATATCACCGATAAATGTTAAGGGACTTGCCCCCTTGCTCTTTTAGTGTTAAGCCCCGAGTGAATTTACATTTTTGAATACAGATGAGGCCACCATGCACCTCTCCTCTCCAAACATAAATTTTTATTGGATGGCCACTGCCACTACGTTTCACAGGTCGCACATCATACCGATGCCTCGGTCTCTGCAGAAATGGGTCTCACAATTCCCCCTCCCTCTTTCCACGGATGTCCCGCACGTTGTCGACTATCGGATGACACAGAATCTATCCCTTCTTTTAAATGCGCGTCTTCGGAGTCCTAATTGTGAGGTTGCCCAAGGAAAGTCCGCGCTCAGGTTTCAACCAATGGGATGAGTTGAATTGTTTAAGGTGTGCTCCAGGGCAGAACAGCCCAGTCTGGCATGTAACAGACACCGATGTATCGTCAGCAGACCCCCACCTGAGACTTGGGGGGGGGGGCTGGTGTACTCAGCATCTTCCAGCAATGTTAGTGAACATGTATGCTGCACGAAATTGGCATTTTTGGGGCACCGAATTTCAAAACGATCTGCTACACTTTTGAAGGTGCATGCGCGCCCTCTCAAGTCTTTTGAATTTCATTCAAGCCTTCTTTCATTCCTTCGGACGTCAGATTTTTGGAAAGAAATCACTTAATATTCTCTAAAAGACACAAGGACCTAAAGTCACAGAGGCCATTCCAATTGAAGACAACTTGCAAATGAGAAATCACGCAACAAAGAGGTTAACAGAATGAAAGTTGACAGAAAACGCTCATGAATCCACGCACATCTTCACGGACCTTGTCACAAAAGAAGAGCAACAAAGCCAAACGACTAAACCTTGCCCTGGCACTGTCTGTGACGACCGGGTCTCTTCACTCCCCTCCCCCCCAATTCTTATCTGGCTCAGACACAGACAAACTGGGACACGCTCAAGAGCTCCGGCGATTGATTTTCTAGCACCTCGCTGCAGACAGTTGGCACGTTTTCCCACCCGCACTTGACACAATTCTTTCTTTCTCATAAAAGAAAAAAGGGGACCCCCTTCACCGGGAGAAAAAGAAACACTTGTCCCTGTCAAATTGCCGGAGCAAAGAAGTGGAGACTGACGGGACAGTTATAACATGGACATGATATTATGTACAGTTCCTTGCCCCCTGATTTTTTACACATTGTTAGTGAACTGTCTAAGTTCTTTTTCAAAAACCAATTGACTGCCAGACTAAAGAAGCACCGTACTAAAGCTAAATGCTCACTTCACAATGGGACAGGTCTGTAACCCCACTCCAACCCCCGACAGTGGCACCCTTGTGGATTTCATTTTTGTGTAGCTTCAATCAAGGACTGATACATGTACAGAACAAAACAGGGGCAACTCTATGAAAGGAACCAACCATAAATAACGTGACTGTTTACCTCTTCTTGAGCTGATAACAGATTCCGTTTCTGTGTCACTCAGTTTGTCGGTGCTTCCTGGTGGGTTTGCACTGAAAAACACAAAATTTAAAAACAAATTGTAAACAATTATGTACGAAGTTCTGCAACAACATGGATGTGCCACATTCAGACACAAACAGTCCAGTTTAGTAGAAACTCATTTGCTTATAATGTTCTAAGTAACGATATTGACGAAGAAAAACACATTTCCCAGCAGGATGCGCAAGTTTACAGCTATGTTAAGTTTCTGTCATTACCCCAGCTGGAACAAATTCTCAACAAGGCCAACCAAGGAAAATTAAAAAAAAAAAAACCAACTGCATTTGCCAGTGCAGTGAACAGACGTTCTCACACAATTTCAATGAGGAAGATTCCCGGCACTGCAATTAACAAGGCAAACAGCGCGCTGTGTGCCGACACGCTCCTGGAATGCCAACAAACGCAAAATCAACATCACATTATGCTCAGACGACACGACAATGTACCCCGTGTAGTCCCTCCTGCTTCGACTGAATGCAAGACAGCGGAATGGAAGAGAGATTTACAAGTAGGGCTCACTCCCGTGAATTTATGTGGAATATCTGACAGACGGTCGTGAATTCTGAAGACAAGGGCATCTGAGTTATGACAGCCGCTCCATGACTCGTACGTGTGTGTTCTGTCTCTATGGAGATTCCACGTACATGCACTAGTACGCAGTATGTGGTGTTCTATACAAAATGTGCATGTGTGGCATACGCAGTGTGGACCTCCGCACAAAAGAAGTCCACATAATGGAGGGTAGCAGACGTTCTGTGGTCTCACACACGTCCATACAGTGTTTTCCCCTCTCTGAGAAACAGCTCCAAAGGCATTTGGAGATGGCTGGCCGAAGGCGGCTGGGCTTACAGTTGCAAGCATGTTAAGCTTTTGGGTCATCTCAACAGCTCTGTGTTTTTTGAGCTCTGGGATCTCCATGGAGGAGCTCTGGCTGGGGATGAAACGGTGTGGGGCAGGACAGGAACGGCGAGGGTATGATAGGGGTGTGGACTGAAGGGCAGAACAGTCAGGGTCTTATTAGAGGCATAAAAATTGGGTACAGACCCACTCGCATGCATGTCTTAGAGCAGGGTACCCATGAAGGAACAGCACACTGAATGGACAATAGTGAGCTGTGTATGCATTATCAACAAATCCAGGGACTTTTTTCAAGATGTATTTTTGCGTTGGGGAGATGTTAATTTATATAACGGGTTTTGCCCTTACCCAACGTACATATTATTAATAAACACTGTATGCGAGAGCTTGCAAAAAAAAGTCACAAGCTTACTTGTGACTCGAGCCCACAACCTCCTGCTTACTAGTGCAGACATCTTAACCACTCGACTACCGAGCTTGTGACTTTTTTTGCAAGCTCCCGGACAAGCACTGAGCATACAGTGTTTATTAATAATATGTACGTTGGGTAAGGGCAAAACCCGTTATATAAATCCAGGGACACTCAAATCTGCCGGCATGTGACAGATTTGCTCGTTCACCACACATCACCCATCCACACACACACCCACACGGGCGCGAGCCCAGTCCTGAACCCCAGCCCCGGACCAATCTGGCATTCAATTTGCACCTCTGTGGATCTCCATTATGCACTACTGAGCAGCGACTGACTCAGCCCTCTTTGCCGCTGGGGGACCCAGAGTGTAATAACCTGCCACTCACAATTAATCCACTCCCACAGTGTCCCTGCAGTATCAAGCAGGATTTACACCTGTTTTCCCCCCACTAAATTAACGGCATACCATTTAAAAAATTTTTTTTTCTGCCGAAGATGCCAGGTGACTGACCTTCATGAAAGATCCAGTGCACTGCACCCGAGACAGAAAAGTCCCAGTACATTGGTTTCTCAATTTCCGAGTCTCGAGCCCCAAAACCCGGCATGACGTACGTGACTGGCATCTGGTGTATTCGTGAATGAACCCGAAAAAAAAAAAAACATGTACCGGCGCTTTACCATCCTTGGTGAGCATTTTCATGGCTGAAATGCAACTACTGTAAACTGGTGCATCACAGACGAAGATACCACAGATGTACATGTACTTTGCATGCCAAAACCTTTCTCCCTGAGGGATGAGACAAGTTCCTTGTAATGAAAGGCACTTCCACAGAGGTGGGAGGGGGGGAGAAATCTACTGACTAGTTTAAGAATACGTACATGTACAGAAGAGTAATTCCAGGAATTAAGGGGTCCGTTTTTTTGTGTCCCTGTCACATCTGACATATGATTTTGTAAGTTCAGAACAAACTTTCAAATTTCCAAGAGTGATGAATTAACTCTAACAGTCCCAAATCCTCGAATTTCAATATGATTTTACACACACCCTAGGGGGTTAGGGTT